AGCACTTTGGGAGGCTGAGGCGAGAGGCTTACATGAACCCAGAGGTTTGAGACCAACCTGGGGAATTGGTGAGACCTTGTCTTTACAACAAATCAAAAAAATTAGCCTGGCATGGTAGCGCGTGCCTGTAGTTCCAGTTACTTGGAAGGCTAAGGCGGAAGGATCGCCTGAGCTCGGTAGGTAGAGGCTGCGGTGGTCATGAGCATGCCACTGCACTCCAGTCTGGACAACAGAGTGAGACTCCAAGTCAAAAAAAAAAAAAAGAAGGAATACAGGGAACTGAGGAACATGGAAGAAGCTCAACAAAATTCAGACTGAGAAACTCTACAGGACAAATGACCTGGTTTAAGAAAAAGAGTAAGAAGCCGGGCTTGGTGGTTCAGCCTGTAATCCCGCGCCTTTGGGAGGCTGAGGTGAGTGGATTGCCTGAGCCCGTGGGTTTGAGATCCGCCTGGGCAGCGAGACCTCATCTCTACAATAAATCAAAAAATCAGCCAGGGGTGGTAGCGCATGCCTGTAATTCCGGCTACTCGGAAGGCTGAGGCGGAAGGATCGCCGGAGCCCAGCAGGTCGAGGCTGCGGTGGCCGGGAGCGGCCACTGCACTCCAGTCTGGGCGACAGAGTGAGACTCCAACTCAAAAAAAAAAAAACCCAAAAAAACAAAACAAAAAAAAACAAAAAAAGAAAAAGAGTAAGAAAAAAAGGTGGAGGATGGACACAAAGATTTAAGAGACATATCACCTGCAAAGTATGAACCTTATTTAGATTTTTATTCAAATAAATGATTTTCAAAATTCAAACATAAATTCAGGAGCAGTAACTCACACCTGTAATCCCAGCAGTTTGGGAGGCCAAGGCAAGAGGATCACTTCAACCCAGGAGGTCAAGACAATGGGGGAAATGTGAATAAATGGATACTTGATATTAAGAAACCATTGTTTCTTTAAAGTGTATCGATAATACTGTGATTTTGTTTTAAAGAAGAATCCTTATCACTTAGAGATAGGATACTGAAAAATTTTTTTTTGAGTTGGAGTCTCACTCCATTGCCCAGGCTGGAGTGCAGTGGCACATACGCTTACAGCCACCCCAGCGCCAAACTTCTGGGCTCCAGTGATCCTTCCGCCTCAGCCTTCTGAGTAGTTGGAACTACAGACCCACGCTACCACACCCAGATATTTTTTATTTTATTTTATTGTAGAGACAAGTTCTCGCCAAGTTACCCGGGGTTGGTCTCGAACCCGTGGGCTCAGGCAATCCACTCGTCTCAGCCTCCCAAAGTGCTGGGATTACAAGCTGAGTCACCGAGCCCGGCCTGAAATATTTACTGATAAAATTATATAATGTTAGAGATGTGCACCAAACAATTGGAAATAAGATTGCATTAGATGAAAGAAGATCGGCCATAGATTGCTCACTGGAGCATCACCGGCATAGAAGACACTTTCACTGGGCCAGGTCACACTTGGCAACAGTATACCTGAGGCAAGGGTAAACAATTTTGCACTGTGGATCTCCAAAAAAATGGTCTGACTCACCGAACTTAAATAAGGGTTGATGGTTCTATTCTCTGTGTGTATTTGACATTTTCCATCATAAAAAGTTTGAAAAACAACCACAAAAGGATCTTCTAATAGCCTAACTCCAGGGATGTTTTAAACTTATTTTAGCAGACTCCTCTGCACTATTTAATATGGTTCATTATTCCACTTTTCCTAAACGCTACATTCCTCAGATTCCATGGTCCTGACTCCTAGATTATCTCCCTACCTTTCGGCTCCTTTCTTCTGTCTCTTTCATGACTTCTCTTCCTCCACCGCCCTTGAGTGCTGGTGCTCCCCAGGACTCCACTGTGGGCCGACCTCTCTCCCTCTCTGCTCCCTCTCCGGATGACGGCATCCACCCTCATGGCTTCCTTTACCATCACTCTTTGCTTATGACAATCATCGACCTTCCACCCACCTAACCTTTCCTCCTCCTGGATTATTTTTTTTTTAATCTTGGTTGATGTCACCAAACCATCTAAGCTAGAAACTTAAAATTCTTCCTAGCTCTTCTCTCCACAAGGCTGACTGACTTTGGATATCCACAATCAGCAAGATTTTCCATTTTACCCTCCAGACTAGCTGGATGTTTCTGCCGATCCTTCATTATCCCTATTCTAGTTCAATCCCTCATCCTCTCCTGACGAACCACTGTCACAGTCTCCTTCCTCATTAACCTCCCCACCTCCATAAAGCCACCAGTGATTCTTCTAAAAGAGGCATCTGGCCTTTCAGCTTGGAATTGCTATCACCCATGATTTAAGTAACTCCCAAACATGGATAAAGAGTCGGAGCCCACTGTCGATTAAATTACCTGTGATGATACTACTTAAAATGAGGCATAAATTCCCAGTGTTTATCATAAATACCATGCAACTATAGAAATCCAGTTCACAGACTAAATCGCTGATGATGTGGACACTGATTTAACGTGAGAATGAGTATGTTTTGCTGAGATCAGATGCCTCCGGGAAAATGAGCACAAGGCACGTGCCCCACCAGAGGCTGCTCTGAGTCCGGCCTGTCTCCACCGGCTCTGAAGGACGGTGGGTGGCTCCCGTCCTTCTCTCTCCGAACTTGCGCATCGCAACGGCCTCCTCTTGACCCTAAAGCATCATATATCCTTGAAGGCCGTCTTTATCCTCTTCTCATTAGCCTTTGGGCATGTAAAGAGTACTTCTTGGCTCCAATTCTCATAAGCGTGTAACAGGACTCCTAGAAGGCAGTCACCCACGCGATGTGGACTGTGCTTATATTTTTCTTTTCTTTTTTTTTTTTTGAGACAGGGTCTCGCTTTGTTGCCTAGTCTGGAGTGCAGTGGTGCAATCCTAGGTCACTGCCACCTCGAACTCCTGGGCTCCAGTGAGCCTCCTGCCTCAGGCTCCCGAGTAGCTAGGACTACAGGCGCGCCGCACGCTTGTAGAGACGAGGTCACGCCAGAGTTGCCCAGGGTGGTCTCGAACTCCTGGTCTCAAGCGATCTTCCCACCTCGGCCGACCAAAGCTCTGGGATTACAGGCGTGAGCCCCCACACCCGGCCTCTGATAGAATTCTTGAAGAGAACTCGGCCTCGCTTCCTCAAGCCCTGCCAGCGGCATCTGAGACCCGCAACTTTCACTCCCGCCGCCCTCCCTTCCGCCGCTAGGTGGCGGGCTCACGGACGCCCGAAACCACTTGCCAAGGAGTCGACCGCCGGTCGCAATGACGTCACTCGCCCCTGGCTCTGATTGGTTATTTTTTCTCCACTACCCCCCCCGGAGGAGGAGCCAGTGGCAGAACCGAAAGTGTCGGGTACGGCGAGCTCGCAGTGTCCCAAGACGTGCGCGCGCGCCCGGGAACCAGGTCCTCCGGCCTGCGGGGGCAGACCGCGTTCCTGTGTGATAGAGGGCGGAACCGTTTAAGCGGGACACACTGATGAGGGCGGGGTCACACTGAGGGGAGGAGTCACCTTGAGAGGAGGGGTCACAGTGACCGGTGGAGTCACTCAGAGTGGAGGGACACACGGGGGGTGTGTGCCGCGCTGAGGGGTTCTGGCACACACTGGGGGTGGCAGTGTCACACTGAGGAAAGGTCCCCCGAAGGGGAGGAGTGTCACTGAAGAAGAGTCTCGGAGGGAAGGCCCTCTTTGGGGGGCGGGCTCTCGCCGAGGGGCGGGGTCTTGCGGAAGGCGGGGCTTTCCGCAGGTGGAGGCGTCTCTCCTAGGAGAGGCTAATTTGGACAAAGTAGTCGGGGCCGGGGTGGGTCCAGGCTGGGTGGTCACAGGGCGGAGGCGCTGGAGTCCTTTATTGGGGGAGGCGGGATGGAGTGAGGTGGCGTCGAGGCCAAGCCCGGGATGAGGCGGCCGAGGGCGCCGCACAGCCCCGGGGCGTCAAACGGCCCGAGAAGGTGGAAGGCGCCGGGGAGTGCGGAGGGCAGGGCGGGGGTCGAAGAGACCTGCGGAGTGAGCAGGCTGGGCCGGGAAGGCGGACGGGCGGCTGGGCGGCCTC